TGAATTCTCGTTCGTGACTCGTGGGCGGAGGGGCTGAGGGGGGGGGGGGGTCCCGATTACTGACAGTTTATGCCAGACGTCGATACCCGACAGAGGAACGTCAGATGCCCTCGTGTCGCTCTCAGGTGATCGCCACGGTCGAGGGCGGTGCTGAGCTGCGAACCGCAAAGGCGATGCGGTCGTGTTAATGATTAGGATTATCGACCTTCTTGTCGGTTCGCGTTGCCCCGAGTCGTTTCTCACGTCAGGTGCGGAGTTTGGCGGCGGCCTTTCACGAGTGCCACGGCGCGGAGGAGTGCCAATCTCAGGGCCAGGGCTCGAGGGCGTCACCTACCCAGGGCTAATCACCTGTCAATCGCCTGGCGTCGCGCGCTTGTACATTCCGATCACCTCTGGCGTTAACAAGTTTCTCGTCGCCCAAAGGGAGAAACCTCCCGATACTTCGTGGCGCCCGGTGATGCGGCCGGAAATTATCCAGCGGTTCGTTGTCCAGAAAACACAAGAGAGAACTGAAAACTGCTCCTGCACGCGCGCAGACGGAGGACGTGAGCTGGGGCGACACCAATTATCCAGGCGATTTCCGAAGGGCGCGCGCGTGTTCCGCCGGCGGGCATGCACACCTGCAGGGGAAGTCAACACCCACTTGTCACGAGCCATTTCACAACACAGCACGTACTCGCAGTGCCTTGTTCCTGTTCTTCCACGCCCACGCCCTCGAACCACGCCCGCGCGTTGTCCTTTTGGAAACCCATAACTTAGGCCGCCCGGGGAAGTGTTATTAGCCTGGTTAATCGTTTTACTAGGCCTCTCTGGGTGGCATGAGATTCGGGATCTGTAATTAGGTTTACGCCAGAGAACATAGGCCTACTTCGCTTTGGAAATGCGGCTTATGGCTGTGCGTGAGAAGGAGGCGTTGGATATGATTTAGTATCTGTCATAAATAATATCCTTGCCGTATTCAACAGATTTGTTTTTTCAACGAGTTCTTATCTCGAACATTCAAGCATTCATGAACACACACACACATATATAGACATAGATCAGCGCATTTACTTTCACCTCCACGCATTATCTTCCTTTCCCTTTGTGCTCGTTTTCGCATATTCCTGTTTATTCCGCGGTTGGCCTTTGTGCGGGCTTCGCTGGTGTATTGCGATCTCTTTGAGCTCATTAGTCGGTCGAAAACAAAAGTAAACTGAGAGCCTTTAATGGAAGGAACCCGAGCCAGGCGGTCGGTTTACCCCACATACCCCACAGAGGACGCCCTCGGAAGCTCCAGAATGGCAGCGAATTATGCGACGTTTTTTTGCTGTGTGAGAAAAATATACAAACACCGTAACGCGTGCACAAAGATAAGATGAAACGTTGAAACCGTGGAAACGGATTAAGAACGTTTTAGTCCTTTTCTTTGGGGGCAGTGTTTCGTTTTACGTACTTTTTGTTTGTTTTTTTCTCTTCTTGGTGTGACTTATGGGGTTGAGGTTAAAAAGGATGAAGGACTGTTGTTGTTGTTGTTGTTGTATGGGAAGTTGGGGTCTGGTTGGAAGGGGTGTGAAGTTATGCGTGGGTGAAATATTTTGTGTTTTTGCGTCTTAGGAGCATTATGGGCGTGTTTGTCAAGGGCGATCAAAATAGATGTGATTTTAAGCATTATGGTGGCGAGAGTGTTTCGTGCCCCGTCTATGCCTGTGTGACACAACTTTTCTCTCGTTCTGTTGATGTCTCTCTCTCTCTCTCTCTCTCTCTCTCTCTCTCTCTCTCTCTCTCTCTCTCTCTCTCTCTCTCTCTCTCTCTCTCTCTCTCTCTCTCTCTCTCTCTCTCTCTCTCTCTCTCTCTCTCTCTCTCTCTCTCTCTCTCTCTCACTCACTCACTCTCTCTCTTCCTCTCCCCCTCTCTTCCTCTCCCCCCCTCCCTCCCTCCCTCCCTCGCCTTCCCATCCCTCCTTCTGTACCTCCTCTCACCCTCTCTCTTTTTTCACAACCTATATGATGTCAACACCATTTCGCTTTTTGCTTATTCCCCTTATAACCCCCCCCCCCCCTTTCCCCTCCCTTCCGTGGCTCCTGGTATAACATGTAGAGCGAAGATGCCAGATTTTTTTTCTTCTATCCTTTTTTTTCCTTGGTGATGGCATTGGCCTGTGTCAGCCTGCCAGCCGTTGTGGTGCTGGATGGGCGGGTGTGGGGGGGGTGGGGGTGATTTAAGGCCCATGTGCTGCCATAGCTAGTTCAGTAACCTAATCACTTGATGATACCTGACGCTCCTCCCTCTCGCTTCGACGGAGGGTCAGCGTCTAGTGCTCGTCAATTTTTTTGCTGTGGTTTTCCTTTCTCATTTTTTTTATCCGTCGTATTTCTATTCCTATTTCTATTTTTCTTCTCCTCTTCTATTTTTCTTCTCAGTGTGTGTTTGTGGCTGATTCTCCTTATGTATGTATGTTTGTGTAAGTGTATGTTTGTATCTGTAGACTTTTTTTTCCCTCTCTTGACTGACGCGTTTGTTGGTCCTGGTTTAAGGGTAGATTTTCACAGGCGGACGAATGGTTATTTGCACAGCAGTATTTTAAGGTGGCTTTATCCTCTTCGCTGTATACCGGGGTGTTCTAGATGTCGCGGGAGGTTTCATTGATAATGTGGGAATAATGATAGTAATGGTGATAATTGTAATGACTGGCGGTAATAACGAAAACAACAACATTGGTAGTAGCAGCAATAACAACAGACGAATGAAAATCACGCACTGAACGCCGAGCAGAAAACCTGAATGGCAAGACCCTCCCCCCTTCCCCCCCAACTCTGACACGTGATTCAGGCACCCCTCCCCCCTCCCCCACCGCCCCCTCCCTTCTTCTCTTTCTGCAGCGGAATGGGACGGCAACCGCATCGGGCGTGAGGTTATTTTTATCCCCGTGTCAATCCCAATCGGTGGGCGTTGTGGTTCGTCAGTCCGTGTTATCCAGTGAGGATAATTATCTGCATTTTTTTTATTGGGGGGGGGAGGGGGGTTAGGGGTGACTTAGGATGGATTGGTAGGGGTGGGGGTGTGGGGGTGTGGGATCGGGTAGGGGAGGGAGAGGATATGGTGGTAATTAGGTCTGTTTTTCATTATATTTGATGAGATAGTACTTTTTCCTCTATTTTGTTTTTCTTTTATTCTTTACTTTTCTAAAAAAAAAATCATAAGTTAGTCCATGAGCTTAACGAATTTGCTTTTTTTCATAGGAAATTATACTTTTGTGTAAGGTATATTGTGTTGGAAATTATACATTTGTGCTATGTATATAGCCCTAAGTCATGTTTAAAAATAGAAACGTGGTTATCTCTTCCCCTCATGTTAGAGTGGAACTTTTATGTCTTTTGTTTTTCACAGCATATTTCTTTATGTCACTGTGTTTTTTTTACTTTTATCATCATCTAATATAAACCCAATTATTTCCAACAGTTCTGGAGAAACAGCGCAAAGACATGGCCAAGTTCGCAGAGGAGCAACAGGCACAGGTAATGTAGTAAAATTCAGTTAACGTTATAGAACCAAGTTACTGTATGTTTAGGATGTTTATTATGACACTAAGAATCATAGTTGCCAAATCCGATTTTGAAACACTCAGCTTTATTTACATACGTAACATATTCTCTAATGTTGATTCTCACTATTTTTTAACAGAGGGAAGACCTTAGTCGTGCCCACTCTGCCGAACTGGAGCAGATGGAAGCAGAATGGCGCAGTAAGCTAGATGTTCAACATGAAAAACACCTGTGTGCTGTCCAGGAACTCAACACACGACACACACAGAAGGTAAAGTGGCAGTTGTAAATTACCCCCTTGTCTTGGAGAAGAAACCATCACTGATAAATAGAAAGAGAAAGAGAGAAAGAGAATGAGGTTCAATGAGTTCTCCATTTTTAAAAAAAATCATAAGTTAGTCCATGAGCTTAACGAATTTGTTTTTTTTTCATAGGAAATTATACTTTTGTGTAAGGTATATTGTGTTGGAAATTATACATTTGTGCTATGTATATTGCCCTAAGTCATGTTTAAAAATAGAAACGTGGTTATCTCTTCCCCTCATGTTAGAGTGGAACTTTTATGTCTTTTGTTTTTCACAGCATATTTCTTTATGTCACTGTGTTTTTTTTACTTTTATCATCATCTAATATAAACCCAATTATTTCCAACAGTTCTGGAGAAACAGCGCAAAGACATGGCCAAGTTCGCAGAGGAGCAACAGGCACAGGTAATGTAGTAAAATTCAGTTAACGTTATAGAACCAAGTTACTGTATGTTTAGGATGTTTATTATGACACTAAGAATCATAGTTGCCAAATCCGATTTTGAAACACTCAGCTTTATTTACGTACGTAACATATTCTCTAATGTTGATTCTCACTATTTTTTAACAGAGGGAAGACCTTAGTCGTGCCCACTCTGCCGAACTGGAGCAGATGGAAGCAGAATGGCGCAGTAAGCTAGATGTTCAACATGAAAAACACCTGTGTGCTGTCCAGGAACTCAACACACGACACACACAGAAGGTAAAGTGGCAGTTGTAAATTACCCCCTTGTCTTGGAGAAGAAACCATCACTGATAAATAGAAAGAGAAAGAGAGAAAGAGAATGAGGTTCAATGAGTTCTCCATTTTTTTTTTTTTATTTCTTTTTTTTTTTTTTTTACTTTTCTAAAAAAAAAATCATAAGTCAGTCCATGAGCTTAACGAATTTGTTTTTTTTTCATAGGAAATTATACTTTTGTGTAAGGTATATTGTGTTGGAAATTATACATTTGTGCTATGTATATAGCCCTAAGTCATGTTTAAAAATAGAAACGTGGTTATCTCTTCCCCTCATGTTAGAGTGGAACTTTTATGTCAAATAGAAACGTGGTTATCTCTTCCCCTCATGTTAGAGTGGAACTTTTATGTCTTTTGTTTTTCACAGCATATTTCTTTATGTCACTGTGTTTTTACTTTTATCATCATCTATTATAAACCCAATTATTTCCAACAGTTCTGGAGAAACAGCGCAAAGACATGGCCAAGTTCGCAGAGGAGCAACAGGCACAGGTAATGCAGTGAAATTCAGTTAACGTTATAGAACCAAGTTACTGTATGTTTAGGATGTTTATTATGACACTAAGAATCATAGTTGCCAAATCCGATTTTGAAACACTCAGCTTTATTTACATACGTAACATATTCTCTAATGTTGATTCTCACTATTTTTTAACAGAGGGAAGACCTTAGTCGTGCCCACTCTGCCGAACTGGAGCAGATGGAAGCAGAATGGCGCAGTAAGCTAGATGTTCAACATGAAAAACACCTGTGTGCTGTCCAGGAACTCAACACACGACACACACAGAAGGTAAAGTGGCAGTTGTAAATTACCCCCTTGTCTTGGAGAAGAAACCATCACTGATAAATAGAAAGAGAAAGAGAGAAGGAGAATGAGGGTAAATGAGTTCTCCATTTTTAAAAAAATCCTTTTCTTGTAATACAAATCTAACTTCCAACAGCTCCGCGAACTGGAATCCTCGAGGCGTGCCCGGGAGTCTGAGCTGGAAATGGCCAACGAGAGATTAATCCAGGAACAGGAAGCCCTGAAGCTGCAATCCAAAAAGTTGGAGGAGACGCTGCTGAATGATACAGATCACAGATTGCTGGCCTTGAGGAAGATGTGCACCTCTCTCAAGAGTGAGGTGAGGCACTGAATTGAATTGTTATTGCCTTCATATGTTGTATTATTCTTGTTTGTGGATCAACTTTTTAGTGTGATATATATTTTTTGTATTGTCTATGCATTTAGGTGTTTCATCCCATTTTGCTTTTATTTCTAGGTATTTTATTAAGCTCTGCACTGACCAGCATAGTATTAACCCATATGCCTTATTTCACAGGTTGAGTCTCTAAAGACGGTGGTGGAGATGAGAAACGCCGAGATCCATGAACTACGCGGCCAGGTGGTAGAAATGGACAGGCTAACCAATGACCTGGAATTAGCCAGAGAAAAGTCGAAGGCCCTCCAGGCTAAGACTGAGGATCTCCAGGCACAAATGGAGAAGAGATCTATGTCTGAAAGGTCAGTGAGAGGGAATATGGCCAAACAGTTGGCAGAAATGATGCAAGGAGAGCGATTTAAACTTATGTGTTACGCTTTGTGGAACTTCTGTGATTGTACAAATTTGCATTGGTTTTTCAAATTTATTTTGACAGTGTTTACATATTGTTCACAGATGTAGAAGAGTAATAAAAAAAATCAATGTCTATAGCTATACTAATACCTTTTCATCATTCTTATTGTTCTACCTGCATTACAGACATTTGGTCAATGAACACAGACTTTTAATCGAGACCTACCAGAGAGAGTCCAACATCAACAAACGGCTGAGCCTTGAGAATGAGGAACTAGCATGGAAGCTCCGACAGCGAGAGGAGATCATGTCAACATCGATGCCTTCCTCCACCCTCGGTATGTTTGCTTTTCTAGCTGTCCTAAACAAAAACAGCCGCTAGAATAATATCTATAATTTTGGATATCACAGATTCTTGCTATGTTAGCACTCATGCATATATATATTATATTTGAAATGTGTATTTTTGATATATTGTTTGTCAATTTCATCTCATAATGGGTCTGGGTAGTATGGCTAGACAATATTCATACTTTAACGCAACAAAAGAGACAGTGATAGTAACAACATCAGTACCATGGTGGGTTTGTAGACTGCTCAGTGTTTTTCATAAGTAGCAGTGTGGTACAGCCCTGTAAATTAATATGTACTCTGCTGAAATACACATACTTCTTTACAAGGCTTCAGATGTCTATTTGGAGGCAGTAGACCAGGTAGATCCTCATTTGTTGAACATCTGTGATTTAAAAATGTCATGGATATCTAAATGGGAATTTTTCCTTGTTTCTGATGAAGGATCTGTAGCATTTAAGTTGTTCATGTGTATTTCCTTTCATTTTGCTTCTTATACTTGGTGAGCTCAATCATGTGTCTATCTGCCAGGCTTAGGCTGCATGTGCTTGCCTCCACAGACATTTATTTTGCATGAAGTTCTATCCAAAGCACCGCATTCTGGTGGAGGTTGAAGGACTTTTGGTCACCAAAACAGCAATGTGTATGGCCTCTCATTTTACTGTTGGATATTGATACACTGGTAAATAGGATTTTTGTGGAGCTCCCATGATAACTGGAACCTTCTACCTTTGTATAATACTGTGGAATGCTGCACATGCACACATGAAGCCGATGGTAAGACCAGCTACCATACATGAAAACTACATCATCCAAAAACAAAAGCTAAGGGCTGAATGCTTCGTTATTCCCTCCAGCATAATCATAATTTTGGCAGTATTTGTCATATTTGTAATACTGTATTGCTGCTGCATGTTTACATGTATTGGATAGTGAAAGCTTCATTAAATAGTTGATCTCCTAGCAATTATTGAAGTAATTATTTGATCTATAATGGTACAGTAATACAGGTGCTTTGTCCATAAATCCACAAATGCAGACATACAAACCAAATCATTGGAGAGCAGGGCAAGAGCCCCGAGATTCAAGTCACCAAAATCATAGTTATATAGTTATTTCACCGGCACAGAAGCAACTGTCGGCCCACCCCCATGCTTTAGTCTTTATTCTGGTCTGACCACCGGCCTGCACACCTGACTCCCGGGTCACCTTTTACAGATCTTGTGAGCCGATCTCCCGCATCAGCACGGCGCCAAGAGGGGGCGTCCTCCCCTCAGGCTGCCCCCCGATCACCCAGGTACGTATCCCTGCACCACAACTGTCACCCACTGCCCGGCACATCTGCACCAATTTTGCACTTAAGTTATTCCTCGGGCACTTTGACTGGTCCCAAGCACACAGTTGCAAGAACACACCCCTGAACTGGCAATATTTCACAAAACAAGATATTGAAAAATAAATTTGATAGTTCAAAGATGTTATGTCTGCATTTCTTATTAGACAGTGTATTTGGTGCCATATTTTGGCAGCTTTACCAGCTATTAATGAATTTAATTGTTGCCTATGTCTTGTAAAGCATATACAGCTAAGAGTAGATGTGTTAAGCAATGTTATTTCAAAATTACAATGCAGATATATATATCAGTTTAGGTAACATTAAGTACTCTTAACCAGCTACAGTATGGGGTACCTTGTAATCTAAAGCAGTTTTTTTAATATCTTAAAAAACTTACACTGAAATTCTTGATGCAATATGATAGTCTTAAAGCACCACCATCTTAATACTTCACGTAAGGAGTTTTTATCTGATCATTATTAGTGATTAGTAGTGTTTAGTTTTTTGTTGTGTATGTTATATAGCTCTTTCCACATTTGTACAATAGCTTTTTTGCAGTTAGAGTATATTTTTATTATCAAAACTTTTATCATTTTTTGACTCCCCACCCCTTTCACTACTGCACTTAATTCCTCAGTATCAGAACTGGGATTAGTTCTTCAGCATCCTTGCATGATAACCGCAGGAAATAAATGTCATTGTTTACCCCAGCACATATGTTATAAAAGTTACCTGCTTTCACCATTTGATTTTGTTCATGTACCTGACTCTTTTTCTTTGGAGAAAATAGACCTGTTGAGACCCAGATCAGGCATTTTTTTTATATAGAGAGGTGTATTAGCTTTGGCAATGGCTTTATAGTCAAAGCTTTTTTGTGATGTGTATGCAGGTTTATGATTACCTCATTTTCACAGCAGGTAAAAGGCCAATAAAGAAAATATCATAAGAAAAGTATATACTCAAAGCATTTCAGGTGGCAACAGACAGGTAATGTCACGCTCCTAGTTTTTGCTCTCTTTTCTCTAACACATCTTGTGTATCTCCACAGGGTAGCTGGCCGTACTCCATCAGGGAAAGTGTCGCCCTCCAAGAGCGAGGCCAGCAAGCGTAGGTCCAGGCTAGGCCTATCGCCAGATGACGGCATGAATGGAGACAGCAGAGTGCAGGAGGTTTCCCTGGAGTCCCCCCCACCATCACCCTGTGTCAAGGCAGTGGTGGAAAAATCAAATTCTGTCTCATTCATTCTGGATTTAAACGATTCGCAATCCGACGATAGCTTTCTGGACTTGCCACCATCCCCCAGGCCAAGACCACACCGGACAGCTTCCCTAAGTGCCGCAGACCGTCCTCGGACACCGACACAGGCCAGAAGAGTCATGCACAACAACAGAACCAACAGCCTTAATAAGAATGGAATTCACATGGATGGGAAATCAAAAAACATGAATGGAAAGCCAAAGGATTTTTTTGGGAAAGCTAGAGGGATGAACGGAAAAGTCGGAGAAATAAATGGAAAGTCTCTTGACTCCAATGGTCACAGCAGTCAGCCAGAGTCTGGGCGCAGTGCCTCCGAAAGCAGCGAGGGAGGGAGCGAAGTGGAGCGGGTTTCACCAACTGGTCTGGCTTGGACCGTTCCAGTCCACAAACCAAAGTCACCCACCAAAGGCCATGCCTCGCGCCAGAATGGGTCTCCAGTTAGAGGAAGAATAGAACACCACCTCCTGGAGGATCCCGAGGAAGATGAATATGAAGAGACACCAACTCATCAGTTCATTGAGGTTGTTGAGTTGTCTGGAGTTGGACTGACTAGCAGCTCAGAAGCCGCTAGTGACTCTGAACTCTCTCAGTGTGACCTCATAAAGGGTGGCTCATCCACCGACTCTGACAGTGACAGCAGTGAGGGCGAACATCACAACAAGAAGGACGCTACTAGCCACCAAACCCTAGGACATAAGGGCGGACCATGGTGTCCCAAGGAGGGTGCTGGTGAAGCTATGATCACAGATGAGCTCTTAAAACAGTACACTAGTGACCCGCTGTCCATGGAGCCCAAGCCAGTTCAAGGAAAGCGCCCCATGCGCCGCCGGATTCCCTCGGCACCATCCTCAGATTCTGACGACAATAACATGAATATCCACAACAATGGTACTACCGGGGATGTGAGCTGGTCTGAGGATGTAGACATCACCTCTAGCTCTGAGATGCACGAGCTGTGACAACACAGTTCATCTCCTTCATCTCGACCGACAACTGACGAACGACTGCGAACGATTAAGCACTGCCACAGCTTTCTAACTTGCCATATAACAAGTGATCTCTCTCATGGTACAACTTCCACTTGTGTAAATGCAGATCCACAACTTGTCCTTAAGACTACAGAGCCTTTAGCTCCAGTTGCTTAGAATACTAGGGCGGATTTCTTCAATGAGAGGGAAAATGCCGGTACCATTAATCAGATGAATCACTTGATGGCTAGTTTGTGTTGTGTTTATTTTCTAGTCAAGCTGTGTAAATCCACACAACGGATCCTATTGTGCCCACTAGCTGCAGTCAGCCAAAGCAGCTGGGCTCCCTAGGGAAGTCTGTAAGTCTCCCGTGGAAGACCAGAGTTTCTCCCGGTGTCCTAATTGCCTCCGTGCCAACACAAGCAATAGGAGCATTCTGGGGCGATTTTTTGCCTTATCAGACCTATGTTTACTGGGTCACTTCCCTGTGGCACCTATATATATAAATATATATATATATTTACCTGAGTACATGCAAGAGTGTAAGGGTCATTCTTAGAGAGTGACACGACGATTATAAGTCCACGCCTAGGTCAACGCTGAGCTGTACCATAACCTACACACCGTTACCTATGGAATGATATGGTTGTATGAAGGACTCAGTCGTTGGTTGTACATAATGTTTGCTGTGTAACTTTGAAAATACGACATATATATTATCACTCACACTATAGTGTAATATATCCAATAAGAGCATGACATATTTGCAGATTCAACTACAGAGCTTATACCCTATTGAGAGTCCAGAATTAATGTAATTTATTAAATGCACAATGAAAAGCGCAAAAAAATTATTGTTTATATATTTAATTGTTTTTCAAGTTACATGATATGTCAGTACAGTTAATAAGTTTTGTTAAAGATGGCAAAACACCTGTTATAGATAATAAATGGGCCACTAGGCATGTGCCAGGCTTTGCTGACCAATGACACAACTCCTACATGCCTTCTGTTGTTGCCGCGATTGGGCGGGTGTGCCCTCGACTCGCGGTCTTGTGATCTATGTTCTTATGACTTATCAGGTAGTCATCATGTTTCTCAGTAACATAATAGTTAATGGATTAAACTATTCTTAATGTAATACGAAACTTGTAAAAAAAATGAGGCCATAGTGGTTGTTATAAATTCCAAGTCACTTTAGAGGAGGGAGTTGATGGCACAAAAAATGTGGCCACAACTTTTTATCAGCAGAAATCTTATTTTGTGGCCATTTCTGCATTACATATGCAGGAACACACACGTCAACATATGCAAAGTGGTGCCATGCGTTGCCTGTTTTTCTACCCAGTGTGCAAAGTGCTAATTGTGCTAGGGCTGCGAGGGTCAGTCTGCCCGCGTGGAAGGTGTAACATCCGATGTATATTATTATACGGCGAAACAATGATTTTGTGCTTTAGGGAAACTATGTACAAGGCTCTTTTTACTTGTTTTTTGCAAATAAGGGAGACTGCCATACAGTAAATCCTTTCCTGAAAACACAGAATTTCCCCCTCGCCGACGATGTGTCATGACAAAGATTTCTTCCAATGATTATTTATGCAGATAGACCATTTTTGCCCTCACATATTCTTAGAAGAGTGTCTTGGTTTTAATGATTTAAGAGTATTACAGCATTGTTTATACTAAGTTCAAAGCCCTGATGTGATCTTGTTTTACATCTATATTACAACCCAGCTATTAAGTTTAAAGACCCAATGTGATCTTACTGTAGGACATAGAAATAAAGCAAAGCTCGATAAACTTGTTTCCATACCCACTAAGTGTGTTTGCTTAGGTCTCTGTGGACAGGCCAGTCTATCTCTCTTTTGTTCCCCTGAAAAGATAAACATATGTCTACAGACGTCTAGAAATATTTTAAAAGGAAGTTCAAACACGACACCACAATTGTAGTATGTTTATTTATTTATTTATTTGCAATGAAAGCTTTCAAATTACCTTTACCTTATAACAGAACTACACATATGCATGCAAGATATTATATATCCAAATGCAACACATATCAAGTAGTAAATTATATTCGGGTTTATAACACTGACAGTTTTTACTACACTTGAAAATGTAGTAAATGCTAAAGAAGGAGAAAAAATAAGTTCCCAATATAACACTCACTTCCTTCGAGTCAACCGAATGTCGGGTTGAAAAGGTTGCATGAAATTATATGAAAGGAAAAAAAAAAACATTGGAGGTTCTAGCGTATAAAGAGATGTCAAAATAATGAAAATGATAACGAAACTAATGAAAATTTTGATGGTGATAGTAATCAAATCTTCAGTAACAGCAAAGGGCAGAGATAATGATGGCGATGATGATATGGATCAAATGGATAATGACTGAATAATGATAATGACAATGAATAGCAAGAACAGTAAATTTATCATAAAAATTATTTTCTGTCTGTCTGTCTGTCTCTGTTTCTCTCTCTCTCTCCCTCCCTTACTTTTTTCTTCCTTCCTTATTTCCTTACTTCTCTCCCTCTCTCCCTCATTCACTATTCCCTCCTTCCTTCCTATCTTCCGTACATTAGTGTATTCACATTGATACATTTCTCCATCAAACAGAGAACATGGAAGATGTGATAACACGCTGATAAAATTAAAAAGACTAAAAGCGTAAACATCTGAATTTAGGATGGTAGATGGTAATGACAATGTTATATGAAACGTTCAAAATAAAAGTTGATAATCTTATAAGTATTAGATATATTACGGCGCGTGCCCGTAGAGAAAGAGGCTGTGATTAATTACCTGTTATATTCTTTTATAATGTAGATCTTGAAATTCAAGAGTGGAGGAATGGGGTAATCCACAAGAAATTTCACACACACACACACACACACACACACGCACACACACACACACACACACACACACACACACACACACACACACACATACACACACACACCACACACATATATACATACACACACACACATGCCACTTTTCACATGTCAGACGGCACTGAGCCATTTCCTGCCGTTTTCTCTTCGATGGACACAAATGCCCCGCGCGCCTCCACAGCTGACGCGATGAAAACAAACATAAAGGGTGCCACGTGTACATAAAATGTATAAAAATGTGTAACCGTAGTTATTACATGCAATAGCTATTCTGTTTCGTTATTTCAGTCTTTAATCATCAATCATCACCTTTCGCACTCTTTCCATATATCATCCCCGTTTCCATCCTTCTTTCACCTTTATACCTTTCTTTTTGAACGGAAAGTGGTCTGTTACTACAGTATACATTTGTGCTCTCTCCTCTCTCTCTCTCTCTCCTCTCTACTCTCTCTACTCTCTCTCTCCTCTCTCTCTCTACTCTCTCTCTCTCCTCTCTCCTCTCTCTCTCGTCTCTCCTCTCTCTTTCTTATCCCGTGTCTTTCTCGTTCTTTCTATTAATCTATCTATTCTTATATCCCAGTCAATCTCTTTTTCATTCTTTCTCCCTGACTTGTAGATATCTTCATATATTTTTTAACACACTAAAATTAAATCAAGGCAAAGATTTTCTCTTAAAAACCAGCTCGCTATCTAAACGTTCTTTCCGAATGGCTTCTCACTGATCTACACGTCACATTATTTTTAAATTATGTGAAACTATTCTTTTATAATTGTTGTCGGTATTATTAATAAAATCAACAAATGGCCACGAAATTGCAAGTAAAACGAAAAGGACTGGGGAATCGGACTCCAGTCCCCACGCCTCGAAGGCAGGCGTTTAACTCATTAGTCCATCTTGACTATCTATTGAGAGAGAGATATATGGATAGATAGATAGAGAAAGAGAGGTTAGAATATGAGAGTTAGAGAGAGAAGAGAGAATGAGAGATACAGAGAAGAGAGAATGAGAGATACAGAGAAGAGAGAATGAGAGATGCAGAGAGGAGAGAATGAGAGATACAGAGAGGAGAGAATGAGAGATAGGGAGAGGAGAGAATGAGAGATACAGAGAGGAGAGAATGAAAGATACTGAGAGGAGAGAATGAGAGATACAGAGAGGAGAGCAAGAGAGATAGGGAGAGGAGAGAATGAGAGATACAGAGAGGAGAGCAAGAGAGATAGGGAGAGGAGAGAGTGAAAGATAAAGAGAGGAGAGAGAAAGATAATGAGAAATAGAGAGAGGAGAGAGAAAGATAATGAGAGAGAGAGAGAGAGAGAGCAAGACTGCCTATCTGTGTGTTAATAGCCACAACTCAATTTGCTTTGAAAATAGAAAGGTATAAAGGTGAGCGAAGGACGGAAAAAAAACTATTGGTAAAAAGAGAGGAAACAACACCAAGTATAATAATGATAAAAGTTCTCATAATCAGAGTAACGATGCAGACCAATGTCATAGTGATTTCAATAAAGAGAAGCATCGTGATAAAGGTAATAGTGATTGACTTGAATATAATAATAACGGTAATAGTGTTGACACCACTAACGATGTTAGATACGAGAAGCATAGCCATTGTATTTGAAGTATTTATTATTGTATGTTATATTATTCATAAAATCCTCGGATAGACAGGTTTTTGATAAATAGTAATAATAATAATTTGTAAACTGCATATTATTATCCGTTCATTTTTAATGCATTTCAAAATCTATCCCCCCCCTCGTTCTCAAGGATATGCCTGTATTTCTATTTTAAGTACAGAAACACGAGTTTTTTTTTTGACTTTGACTGTTTGATTCAATATTTTCGTTCGGATCGTTGGATGAATGTTTTATTTATTTTTCAGGCTTTCTTCTCTGTATATATTTTACCTCTCGTATTTTTTATCATTACCTCCAACGGAAACTCCATTCTGAGTTTATGTGAAATTAATGCATATGATATTGGAATAAAAAAACAAAACAAAAAAAAACAAACAAACTCGGCCAAACGGTTAAATACTTCGGTCTTACTGGGATATTGTACAGT